AAGGCTAAGCAACTGTTCCTTGCAAATCCGACCGGCAAAAGGCCCAGGGGACGGCCAAGATTGACCTGGTTCAAACATATGGAAGGAATCTGTTCCAGACTGCATTTGTCTTTCGCCGAAGCTCAGACTCTGGCACAGGATCGGGAACGCTGGAAGCACTGTCTGACGTATCTGCCTCCGCGACCCAAAAGGAGAAGCGGCGATGGAAGATGAAGATGGGCGAATAAAGATTAAGGTCGAGAATAAAACAGAAAATTATTCCGTCGTTGGTTCGGTATAGTCATGAAGTTGCCCAGGTTTCTAAATCGCGTTTATCTTTAAGGGCGGCAAATGAGACAGTGTATTATTCATTCATTTTTAAACTCGCTAGTCTATGCGGTAAAAGGGCAGCTACCCCAAGGGTTCAAATCACGCCAGACAGAGAAGCTTCATGGCGTGGATTCAAATGCGACAACTTCGTATGTTCTGCACAGTAGAGCTATCTACTACGATGTCAGTTCTGAGTCATATTCTTAGTAGCGTTGCTAAAAGAGTGCATCTGAAAGTATCTTAGCTGTATCCTCAACTCAAGTCCGAAACGTCGTATTCATCCCGCATTGTTAACATCATTTAAAACTTCGAACGACCTATACGTTTCATAAAAGCTTCATCATCTACATCCATCACAACCGGTTCTCCTTTCGGGTCTCGGAGGCAGACCTTCAGGCAGTGCCTCAAACGTTCCCTAACGTGTGCAAAATCCTGAACTTCGGCAGAAGTCAGCAGGGGTCTATAACAGACTCCATATATTTGCACCAGGTTAATCTTGGCCTTCTACCTGTCGGCTGGACAATAAAGAGTTGCTTAGGTTGCTTTGCCTTCCTCTTTGTAGGCGTTCCAAACAAATGCCCAAACCATCGCAGTTGTGACTTCTCAATCCGAAGAAGGAGCAACTATATACAAAGGCTCTCGCGGATTTACGTACTCCGGACCGTTTCGAGAGGCATAAAGCCGGCGACTCGTCTCAGAAAGCCCAGTTCAACCACTTGAACTGGGGAACGAAGTTTTTCAGTCATGATCAACGGTTCCTGACCATAGATGAGCTGAGGATGACGATCAACTTGAACACCAAGAGCATAATCTTTAGACTCTGCTCTGCTTTGGTCACTGTGGGTCAGGATAATTTAAGCAGAATGCCATTTGCTACTCTAATTCGTCGGTCGACCTCTTTCTCAGATGTTCCATCACTAGTGAAGACGACACCGAGGTATTAGAACTTCTGCTCTCCTTAGACTGCCTCTCCGTTCATCTCAAGAGAGCAACGGACAGAAGAATGAGAAAACACTAGGCTATTCGCCTTAGATGCGTTCAAGCGCATGACGGTCACGTCACACCCGGCTGCCAACCTTCCTAACGAGCACTGGAGATCAGTTTCAGAAGATGCTAATAAAACAAGGTCGTCTGCAAGCAGCAACCTTCTCGACTTCACATCTCCTACACCGATATCCTCATCGCCTTTGCTGCACCTGACTATTCTATCCATGTACAACACAAACAGGAGAGGGTTCAGAAAACAGCCTTGACGGAGACCAGTTCCAACGCTGAAAGACTTCGACCCAACACATCGCTGTGTAACGTCTGCCCTCAACGTATAGTTATTAAGTAGCCCTTAGCAATTGGCCATAGATCCCACATGTTCGCAGGCATGCCCACGGATTGTTTCGCGGGATCTGGTCATAGGTTTTCTCTGGGTTAACAACACTGGATGGGTGTATTCTCACGATTTCTCAACATCCTGGCGCAGGGCAAATTATAAGGTCAGAGGTGTTTCGACCGGGCCGCAAGCCACACTGCTCTTCTTGTATCTTGGAGTCACTTATTCCGCGGCACCTCCTTTTTAACATCTTGCGCAGGAAGTGAAATGATGCCTGCAATATTGAACCACTCCCTATGATGTCCTTGAACAAAGTTACTAAAATCCCCATTCTCCAACCCGTTTTTGTCTTCCCCGTAGCCATTGCAGTTTGACGGACAGGTGGAGCCAGCACATGTCTATTGCTTCGAGCATTTCAGGGTGGATTTCATCAGTTTCAGCAACCTTTTCATTTTTCAAGGTTTCCACAGCTTGTGTAATTTCATCTACAAAGATAATAATATCCGTTTCCTCCTGCTCTACAGGCAAATCTTCCTGCGCAGGGTTAAGGAGTTCCTCAGAGTACTCCCTCCATCGCTGAAGAATGTCATCATCCTTGGTTAGAGGGTGTCCAGACCTGACCTGTCCTTCAAGACTCTGAAACTGCCCTTCTTTTTACTTCGGAGCCGGCGGATGGTCAGCCGGAATAATTTGTTTGCCGTGTGGAAATTTGACCCCAACACCTCACGGAATTTCTCCCAGGAATCAGCTTTGGCTTTCGCTGCCGCTTTGTGTGCCTCGACATATCGAATGTGAGTAGAAGGCTCTTTGTTTCCTAATCATTTCTTGAATGCAGCCTTCTTTTCTTCAACTGCCAGTTGTACCTCCCGTGTCCACCATGAAGATCTTTGCTGACTTCCAGGCGGCAGGTCAACCCGTTTATATCCGCAGCATTCGGCGGCAGCT